CTGTCCATCCCTTCAGCCCCACTTATGACCCCACAGGGTCATAAGTCTCTAGGACCAGCTGACTGGGAAGAGCACATCATAAATACTATCACATTATAATTGATTTGACATGATATGCAGGAATCAGGTAAGAATGTACTGCTGCAATAATATAGCTCCCTTGAGATGGCCTGGAAGGGCAGTTTGATAAGAAGCTAAAGATGATAAAAATACATACATGAGTCAATACAATCTCATTTTTTTGAATCTCAAAAAAAAAATCTCATGTTTAAATCACACACATACATAAAAAACCCTCAAGATTACACATCTTGAGTGAGACATCATGAGTTGAGTAGTATTTTCTGAACGTTCTGATGAAAGTTTGTCTTGTAAAAGCCCTCTTCTAAAGTACGTTGGAGATGAGCTTTAACCAACCGGCTTTCAAGCTGCTCACCTCCTGTTATCTTAGTCTCCACTGAAGGCTAGCGGTGCTAAGGCTAATTTGGCAGAAATGGAGAGGGCTAGAGAGGCTGGAGGAAGAGTCAAGCCAGCCAACTGGCTCTGGGTAATTGGTAACAGAGCTCTCAAGAATCACAGAGCTGTTTTTATTTGTGTTTTTTGACCAGGCAATGAATAGGCTCTTAGAACAACTGGCACCAAAGAGAGTAATAAATATCAAAAGTTTAACTGAAACATAACTTACTTATAAAAGGCAGGGTTTACTCCCAGTTCCAGATCAGTTTTGAATAGCATAGCGTCAGAATGGTTTAGATATAAAGACTATGAACTATGAATAGGTTATTTGCTAGTTATTTATGACAAAATATTTGTGTTATCGTAGTAATAATAATTCATAGTAATAAAAACTACACTCTGAAGATTAAGCATTGGCTTTTTCACTTTATACCCAGGATTCACAGACACAGACACACACGTGTGTATATGATAATATGTGTGGAAGAATAGAGAGACAGAGAGAATACCTGGTCTTTAGCTGGCAAATGATACTGATTTTCTTAGATCTTCCAATAGCATTATTAGTGCTTTCTTCTTAAGAAAGTTCAGCAAAGTGCCATCAGATAAGTGAGGTAATCCTCTAATATGAAACACCTCTATAAGCCAAATCAAACCAAGGGAAAAAAAGAAAAAAAGGAAATGATTTATTGCAAGGAGCAAAAAAACACTCACTATACTAAACCTACAGTTTTTAATGTCATTTTGATTGAGATAAGAGAAGATAGCACTTAGATAAAACAAAAGAATACTTTTAGAAAGGAACACCAGAGTACAAGTTCCCAAAGTAAATATATGACATATGATATAGGAATTTTAAAGGTCAGAAAATGAAATAAAGGAATCTTTCAAAAAGCATAAGGAAGTATTGAGAAGGGAAGTAGAAAAGAAAATATAGGAGAATTAGACACTTTATCCAGGAGATGCTCTATCTAAGACAAAAAAATGGATTGCCATATGGACATGAACTTTCAGATTGAAAGGACTCCTTGAGTATCCAGTGGATGAGTTAAATATATTCTCTCAAAGCATATAGTTTTAAAAATTCAGAAACTGAAGATGCAAAGAAAATCTCAAAAGTTTTCACACACCAAAAAAAGGTCATATTCTGAAAACTAAAAACTGTAATTTCATCAACCTTTCCCATTTCAACTCCAGAAACAACAAGACAATCACTTTTTCAAACATCTTCAAAATATGGAAGGAATGTTGTTTCAAATCAGAATTCTATCCAGTCAAAGACCAGTTAGGTGGGTGGGGTGAATAAGCGCATTTTTGTACATCTGAGATCACACACACACTCAAAAAAACGTATCTCAGGTGCATGCAAGTGACCTTTGTGCTTCCCCACCACTGGAGTTAACCAGAAAGGAACAGAACCCAAGATCCAGGAGGTAACACAGGAGATGGGTGAAGCCCAAGACCACAGCAGTAACACAGGCTAAGAGAACAAGGGTTGCATTATCCATAAATGTCCTGTAAAAGACGATACTTCAACAGAGACAGTGTGATTTATGTGTTAATTATAATCCACAACTTGGATAAGCTTAGTTACCCTTTTGAAGAAACTTTATAATGAAGGCTCACTTAATGAATGCTTTTAATGCTTGTTGCTAATAAATGCCTGTGATATAAGATATAACCAAGTCAAATTTATTTTCATCTGTGTAGATTTTAAGGGAGGATTTCCATATCCCTCATTAACTGTAAGACAAATGAAATGTGCCATATGTAAAAAAGAGACAGTTGGAAGAAATAATTTGTAAGTTTTCCTTGAGCTTTAACTTGTTTCACTGTGTCTTTTTTTCTACACTTATCCAAGACGTTTACCTTCATTATGTTATTTGGTTTCCAAACCACCCCTCAAAGAAGTCAGGGCAGGTGTGTTATGGGTAGATTTAGGCTCATGATGATTAAATAGACTGTGAAAACTCAAACTAGTAAGTCGCAAAAGGAAAATTGTGACTCATTTTTTTCAACCATTTATCTAAGACTGTATACTATGCTTCTATATATATAGTTATGCTGATCAAAAATTCATGACTATCAAAATGATGCAGGTACCTTAAGTGTTAATATGTTCATTTACTCATTCAGTAAACACTTAGTGAATACTTACTATGTCCAAAGCCCCATGGACTTCAAAAATCTCAGTCCATATTTAGAGACAATGTTGAAGCCATGTCATTACACCTTAGGCTTCCTTTGTCCTTGTTTTGAAGAACCAGAAAAGACTGAACAGCCTTTCATCAATTCTTAGAACAGGTAGCAAGACTCAGACATTCTCACCATTGTCTTAATTTACTGAACTTCCACTTGAGCCGTTCCAACGAGGAGTTTAAGTCCCCATCTTCCAGGAATCAATAATCAAAGGAAGGTAGATTGGATTGTTATAAGAAAAATCAAGATGCAGATAGAGATAATACCAATAGTAGAAAACGTCCTGTGGGTTTAGTCTGGAAATAATGACACCAACCCTGGTATGCATTGTAGATGGTCATTTTTATTTATATCACATCTTCTGGGTCCTTACAGTGTGATTGTTGTTACACACTCACCAAAGGAGAGAAAAGAGTCAAGAATGATTTCCAGATTTTTCTGGTTGAGGAGACAATGACAGTGACCCTCAAAAGTATAAAATGACGAGAGCAGTTGGAAGTAAGAGAAAATAGAAAATTTCATTCTACACATATGCCTTTGAAACATCCAACGGAAGGCTCTAGAAAGCAGGCATATACACACTCTGGAGTGCAGGTGTTCTTCCAGAGGCTGGGCTGGAGTTAGAGACTCAGGAATCGCCATAATAGAGAGATGGCTAAACCCTCGGAATCCCCCAGGAAATCTATGTAGCGTAAGAAGAGCATAGAATAGAGGACAGAACATTTTTAAAAATTGTTAGAGGAAACAGAGAACTTCAAGTTATAGGTAGAGAAAAGTCACAAGGGGAGGGAAGGAAAATTTAGGAGAGAATGATGTCAGAGAATCAAGAGAAACACTTAATAAAAGATGGGTCAGCATTGTCAAAAGTCACAAGTTAAGGATGCCAAACACTAAAAGGCTTCAATAGATTAGTAAACATGAAGATCATTGCTGATTTTGTCAAAGCAATGGTAGGGAAATGGAGAGATTATTTAGGCGGTGGATCATGGATGGACCTGTGACCAGGAAATGACTGGAGGCAGCCAGTGTACTGGTCTAACTTTCCTACAATGAACATGTAGCGACATTTGTATAATAAAATTCAGAAACAACTGAAATATGTTTGGCTAAAAAAGAAAATTAAGAAAAAGGAGCGTAGCTAAAAGGGTTGTGCAGATCTGAAGCTCATCTGTTCTTTATATCCTGAGGGCTTAGAAACAGAAGAGAGAAGAAAGGAGAATGCAGAGGGGAGAGATCATTGCTGTGAGGAAGGAGATAGCACTTTATTTTTTTTTTAACTCTGACATGAGTGTACCTGTAAAGCAACTAGGTGATCATGTCTGAATCAGATCTTTGTTGATAAAAGCCTTTAAACTTAAATGAATTTCCCAGTTGAAAGTGTAGGGCTAATACTAAACAGAGGCTAACATGGCTGTAATCAGTTATGACAAGCCAGGGCCAACCTGAGAGTTAGCCCGTTACTCTTTGATAGAGAACCAAACTGAGCTCTAAGGGACCTGCCTGTAACGAGGAGGGAGGAGCCAGGTGGTTCAGAGAAGGTCCTTGAAATCAGTGTCCTCCCCTCTTGTCCGGGCTCTACCTTTGATAATATGTATGTGAAGCAGTATTGAATGAGTCTATAAATCAAACCTCCTGCTCCCAGAATAAGATAGATTCTGAAAAAGAAAATTATCACAATCAACAGGATAATGTCTTAAAATGAGATTATTTTTATTTATGTCTTTCTTCAAAAGGCATAACAAATTTTTCCCCAAAATTAAAGACCTAGAAAACAATTATCTTAGACCTACGTGTTAAAGAAAAAAAAAATAGCAGTGTAACAGAATGTTTGGTACTGGACTAAATGCAAAACATCTGTTATAATGAGAAAAAAAAAACACCTCATTTTAATAATTGCTTGGAATGAAGCTCCCAGTAAGGAATTGAGATACCAAAGTTATTCTTATAAAACAGAGCATAACATCATGTGTCGTGCCAACATCAAGTATAGCTTCCCAGATTTCATTTTTAAGTTTTCGAGGTGTATTTTTCTATCTTTCCCTCAAATACAATGTATCTAAAGAGAATTCCAATATGTCTTTTATATGAGAAATAACTAAAATATTTCCATAGAGACAAAGTACATTGGCTTTTATTTCTTTGTATTCAATTAAAAAAATAAAGATATTCTAGAGAAAAATGTTTTAAAATCTCTTCTTGGTATACTTGAAATCAAAACTGATTTCAGTTGCCTGCTCGTAGCTCAGGTCTAGATATCAGTACATTGTAACATCTTTGCAACTGTGGATTCAGAGTGAAAATTGTCCTGCATTTTTGCTATGGGTTCTTGAGATTAAAGAGTTTCCTGTGCTGAGCTGCCTAGGTGAGAGGGGCTGTGGTGGCTGGAGGGGTTAAAGCTGGAGCCACTGGTGCATATATTTTAGGGAGGATTCATAAAAACACGACAGTGGAGTCCGGGTCAATCCATTACTGTGAATGAGCGGTGGCCAATAGAAGGGGAACAGGAAGATCCAAGAAGGCTGAGGTAAGCGGTCTTCGGAAGCCCCGTCAAAGCGGAAACAATAGATCAAAAGGTGCTCACGGTGATCGGTCAGAGGAGGTTTCATTTGTTCTCATAGGAAGCTTGACAGCATAAAATAAAAGCAAATTATTCAGTCAATTTTTTTTTTTCTTAACTGATTTTAGCAAACATCAGACCCAGACACAGGACTCAACGGTATATTCCTGGACAGCAAGGTAAACTATTTTGCACTTTTTAAAACTCGTAACATTAAGAATTGTAAGTTCTGATTCATCGGAGGCAAGGCTACAGCTTCAATAATGAAAATAAATCCTATTCTGAGAAAAAGAATGTTTTAATGTGTCTCTGTTGGACTATGACCAGAGCAGAGTTCTGCAGCTGTAAGAAATTTTGACAGCTTGCGGAACCAGCTCTTCCCTCATCATTTCCCTCAGTTTTGTGGCACAAATGAAAGATCAGCATTTCATAATTGACACTTCTTTTATCTTTTTAGGAATAAGTAAAATGTATTCTTTCCTATTATCCAGCAGTTGAACTAAATGTACATTGGTCAGAATGTTACTGTTTTATTGGTCAGAATATTATGTTTTATATATATACACATATATATATATATATATATGGTTTTTTTTCCTGTTAGACTAGTTCATTGTACCCACACCCTTGTTGACATTCAATGAGGAAGATTTATGTCTCTTAGATGTATCATATATCAGTGCTAACCTTTTCTTTGTTAACAGCCATCCTGAAAATATGGAGTTCTACCTGTGTCATAAACATGTCTTTGTTTTGTTTCTTATCAATCATCATAATGCCATAGTTGAATATATTACTTACTTAATTGTGATATATAGAAAGAAAATTCGTAATCCAAACTTCTTGACTGACCAACTTCGTTTTAATACTTATAAAGCTAGAAGTCTTTCCCCACACCCCAAAGTAAAACTTACCTGAGATGTTGAGCAATAAAACGAGAGTTTAACTACACACTTTTCTTCATGTCTTAAAACCTTTCTTCACAACAAACTGGCAAAGTGTTCTTTGATCTCTCTCTCTCTTTCTTTGGTTCAAGGGCCAGAGAGCCTGGGAAATCTTATCCAGATGTCCTGCTCATTTAGGAGTAGAAGTAAAAACATATGCTTTATTTCTTAGAAACAACACAGACTCTCAACTTGAGTAAAAGATCACTTTTTTGGTACTCTCGCATTTAACTGTGGGTTTCAGTTAACTTTCTTGCAGTAAAAAGCTTGAAATGGAAAAGCACTCAGAGCTCCTAAAATGTGCTTTGCATTCCTCAGTTTCAGTGGATTGGGTTAAAACTAGAAAGCTACAAGTTGGTGAGTCAGTTTCAGTGTTTGCAAAACGCTTTGCATAGAGTGCCTACTAAATAAATGTGTATTCATTGATATCTACGTATAAAACGTTGACATGTGTTTACCTTTACCTCAAAGAAGTGATCATTTTGGTGCATACAGTTATCTAAAGGTCAAGAACTTCAAACATCTAATAGTAGTACCCTTTATCCTAGGTACTATAATGGCAACTGCAATCTGTTTCATCATTGGCATTTTATTCATAGCAGACACTGTATGGACTCGAAGTGTGAGACAGGTCTATGAGCTAAATGAGCTAGAGGATTGGACTGTGCATGACTTTGATTGTCCCAGGGAATGTTTCTGTCCCCCTAGTTTCCCTACTGCTTTATACTGTGAAAACCGAGGGCTCAAAGAAATCCCTGCAATTCCTTCAAGGATCTGGTATCTTTATCTTGAAAACAACCTGATAGAAACAATTCCTGAGAAGCCATTCGAGAATGCCACCCAGCTGAGATGGATAAATCTAAACAAGAATAAAATAACCAACTATGGAATTGAAAAAGGTGCCCTGAGCCAACTCAAGAAGTTGCTTTTCTTATTTCTGGAAGATAACGAACTAGACGAGGTACCTTCTCCATTGCCAAGAAGTTTAGAACAATTACAATTAGCTAGAAACAAAGTATCCAGAATTCCTCAAGGGACCTTCAGCAATCTGGAGAACCTGACCCTTCTTGACCTGCAGCACAATAAACTTCTAGACAATGCCTTTCAAAGAGACACCTTTAAGGGACTCAAGAACCTAATGCAGCTAAATATGGCCAAGAATGCCCTGAGGAATATGCCACCGAGATTACCAGCCAATACAATGCAACTATTTTTAGATAACAATTCCATTGAAGGAATACCAGAAAATTATTTTAATGTGATTCCTAAAGTGGCCTTCCTGAGACTAAACCACAACAAATTGTCAGATGCAGGTCTCCCATCAAATGGGTTTGATGTATCATCAATTCTAGATCTTCAGCTCTCTCACAATCAACTCACAAAGGTCCCCCGAATCAGCTCTCATCTGCAGCACCTTCACCTTGATCATAACAGAATTAAAAGTAAGTAATCATCAGGCAAAGTCTTTGATTAAAATGCTCATGGGTCATTCAATTTATTCTATATCTTCTTTAAAAATAGCAATTATGTTGTTCTTATTTTTGCCCCCCCACTCAGATATTCTTAGATTATTTTTAGTGTATTTTAAATTTTCAGTATTAAGTTTAAGTTTTATCTATTCACACACAGTCTTAATCAAGAAGTTTGAGTCTTCAAATTGTAGATTGAAAGTGGACTTTAGTAATCTAGGAGCTCTTATCTATTGGAGAAACTCAGTGACTCGATCTTCTAAGTTTGAGTCTTCAAATTGTAGATTGAAAGTGGACTTTAGTAATCTAGGAGCTCTTATCTATTGGAGAAACTCAGTGACTCGATCTTCTTTTATTCCAAGGAGATTCCAATATTCTTCCCTCCATGGGTAGACTTATTTAGGTAAGTGTACCAGACAAAAACAACCTCATGAATAGTAAGAGAATGACTATGATTTAGGAGATATCAGAAAGGCAACTCCATCCTAAAAACTACAGGATGACTGATGCCTGAAACTACCCTCATCAGTCTCTGCTTTAGATCAATGGGTTTCTCAAACTAGAGGGTGACAATTCATGGCTCCACCCCAGAATTCCTGACTGAGTCGTTCTGAATGGGACCTGAGACTTTCATTTCTAACAAGTTCCCAGGTAATGCTGAGACCACTGCTCTGGGGACTGTGCATTGGAAACCAGTGCTGTAGTTTAAGGCTTTGCTCAGTTGAGATGGAAACAAAAGCTCCTGGAAGCTGGCAACTTCTTAGGACTAATAACAACCAACAAAGTAGGCTGCCTGCTCCTTTCTTGAAAATACTTTTTAATAAAGGAGAGAGACATGAGGGTAAAGTACCTGGAGGCAGAGATGCCATCAAAGGAGAAGTGGTTATAGAAAGAAAAAGCTGGAGATACTAACAGTAAACTTGGCATCTTCAAAATTATGCCTGAGACCAGGCTGACTCTTGTGTAAAAGTGGACAGATGTATCTTGCTCCAGCACAGAGGTATTGGACCCAGCCTGGCACCTTTCCATGCCTCCTCAACCCAACACAAACCCTTTAGGAATATAATTAAGGAGACTTCTAAACAACTAAGAAACTACATTCCTAAAGTGACAATCAGTCAGATATTTTGCAGGAAAATAACATAATTGTCAGAAAGTTGTGCCGTCTGGTTATTACTAAAGTTTCCTTTGAGCAAATAATCACATAAACATTCCATTTATCAGAATAGACTATTTTTACCCTGGGAATTGCTCAGTTATTCAAAATATTTTTTTTTCATTAACAGCATAATACTTGAGCATAGAATCAAGGAACTAAGAAGCAGGCTGCTTCCACAGCAGTTGTTTTTCTATAGTGATGAGACACATTGCTTAATCCCGTAGTCAACAGCAAAGAATGCCACAGAAAAAAAGATGTAAATAGCTGAATCTGTTTCACTGAACCAGATAGCACAACAGCCAATATTGACCAAAATGTATGTGATTTGTCTGCTGATGAAAGTCCTATGACAACAAAGCCCCATAGACATTTGATATGGAAGTTAATTTAAAAGAATTCCATGTAAATCCCCATTTGTGAATTAGGGTTTCCCCTGACAATTTGAGAATAAGGACCTTTAGGAGGGAGGTAGGAAAATTCAACACAGTTGAGCACATATACCAGGCATTTACATAGTCATACAAAGAAGAATAGGATTCTGTTCTTTCTCCGCTCACATTTTAGAGAGTTTTTACAGTATTTTCTCATATATTTTTATTTTCATTGTCCTCATGCCTTAGCATGCATAAGAATCCCCTGGGGGGGCTGTAAGACATAGGTTGCTGGCCCCACCCTAACTCAGGAGGTCTGGGTGGGACCTAAAAATTGAGTTCTAGGAAGTATTGATCCTGCTGTTCCAGGGACCACACATTGAGAACCACAAATTAACCCTTAAAAGAATCTTGTTTGGTATTATAAGGAATTTTTGACAATAGAGAAACTGAGGCTCAGTAGCTAAGGATATTTGCCCAAGGACAAAGAGTAATAGGAATAGCCAGGATCTGCACCCAGGGCTTCTCATTTTAGGTATTTTCCCTAATCATACAGAATACTCAGCATAATTTTCTTTAATCCCCGGACTACAAGACCAGAAAAATTTCTGTCAGTACAGGTAAGAATTATTTTAACAACAACATCAATGAAAAGAAATTGATATGTTTGCTTCTTAGTGTAGGTATCAAGTTTAGTTGTTTCTATATTCCAAGAAAATTCATGTAAAATAAGAATTTCCCTGGCTAGAGTTATAGACCCACCATTATTTCACGCTGTGTTATAATAACTGTTGAAATACTTAGCTCTTCTGGCCACATAATCTACTTTAGCTGTTAAGCAAGTGGCTTCCAAGAAAAAAATACTTTTTAGATGAACGTTTCTCAAATTCTACAGGCAGCAGACTTTTGTCATGCAAAATGATGGAAATATTTATTGCCTCTGAACTGGGATTTTTAAATTTGGCAAAAATGTTGACTATTCAAACAAGTTACTTCTTGGTGTTCTCTGAGAAACACCATAAACAATTTATGAAAATGCAATTAAATTTAGAACATTCGTTTCTCACATTCCATTTATTCAGACATGCATTGATTATGGGGCATGGGTGTAATAAGGATAATGAGATGACACATTGAAAGGGACACAATCTCTCCAATAGGCAAGGGACCCTGCACAGTATGAAAAGGATTCAGCTCGGACTCAGTTCTGCCACTTACTTGCTGAAATACCCTGTGTGCATTACCTTCCCTGTCTGAACCACTATTCCCTACAATACCCAAGTAGGGAGAATAATCATATTGCCTAATAAAGGCTATGTGATGATAAGGAGACAGTGTATGTGAAAAATAACTTCATAAACACAAAACTGCTGTACAAATATGAGTCAATATTTTTAGCAAGTTGAAGTCATAAAAAGATCATAGCAAACCAAGCTCACTGTAAACAGAAAACCCTTCAGAACTACACACATCTGTCTGCACCAACAGGACACAAAGAAAGGCTATTGTCAGCTAGCTGGGTCTCATTTCCTAAGGAAAATCTCTTGCTTGAAACAGTTTCAAAGTGGGATTTAAAAACAGAATACGATTCCAGCTATTATGCACACTTCTCTGAATTTTGCTAATTTAACAGGCCTCCTCTCCAAATGCATCTAAACAGTATAGTCATTGATGCTAAGGGCTCTGATCCATGGATGGCAGGTGCATAATTTCTCACATCTTCACCTTATGAAATGGCTGATGGAATATTTTCTGGCTTGAATGTTGAATGCGTTGTAACTCAACTCTTGGCAAATGTTTCCTTTTCAATTAAATATACTTAAGTATGGAGATTTGAGGTTGTTTTCTGTATTATATATATAAACTTATGTTAAGTGCACTTTTTAAAAAACTGTCATCATATAGTATTAATTTGAAATTTTGCATTTTTAACCACCTCTGCCTCCATCTACCTGTGTATCTATCCATTCTTTCAGTATGAACTCTGAACATTTGTCTCTACTTGTAACACCCTAAATACTATCTGTCCCATCCTATAGTAATCTAAGCATGCCTTATTTCATCTGAAAGTTTAGGAAGACAAGTGATATATCTTATATACTTATTTCCATTAGAGCTTTTATCAACATATCCTTTCTAGTGCTCTATACTAAGGGTAGTTAAATATGGAGTGAGATGGCTGTGTGTATATATATATATATATATATATATATATATGTACATGTGTGTGTGTGTGCATAGCACATTTGTCAGGGTTACTTTTATAAAGTAGATATGGACAACCCCCAGCTTACACAAAATGAGTTGCATCTCTGACACTCCCACAGATCAGGCCACTAGGCCTGTTGCAACAGCTTCTTGGTCTTCCCACCCTAGTCTCTTGTGTTGCAATTCATTCATTCAATGCTATCTTTGTCTCCATAGATGTGAACGTCTCTGTAATATGCCCTACCCACACCACGCTTCCTGCAGAACAAGATTCCTTCAGCTATGGACCGCATCTTCGCTACCTCCGTCTGGATGGAAATGAAATCAAACCACCAATCCCAATGGATTTAATGACCTGCTTTAGGCTCCTTCAGGCTGTCATTATTTAAACACATCCCAACAATCTAAAATGGGTCTAATGAGTTAATGCATCTGACATGAAATTTGGTTACCATTCATAGGCTTGAAGACAAAGATCTCATTTCCAATTGCTCTTGGCCACCATTGTCATTTGTGTAGTTTATTTTTTCTATTCAAAGATGCTTTCACTAATGATATGTAGCAAAGCTGGCTTTTTTTTAATTAATAAGACAGACACAGAGTTAAGATAGTTTATCAACTCAAAGACAGTTTTTCCTTGTCTTTTTCACAGCTTACTAATACCAAACAATGCAGTTGTATTGTTATGCAATAGAAAGAACATATTTGTTTGCAAATGCTTAACATTGTTTATGCAGATGATAGATTTACAGTATAAATACAGTAATCTAACAGGAGGTAGGAAGTTCTGAAGAAAATGAAAATATATAGGAGATATACCTTTATTATAATTATAAGGAAATAATTAAACTCAGATTGCAAAGTAGCTTTTGTAGGCATAAGTTTGGTATTTAGCTCGAGAATGGGTATGAGTGCATCAAATACTTTATAACAGAATTCTAGTCATTTAATACCAAATAACAATCAACAGTCACGTTAGTACACCACTATTTCCTATAGCTGCCATTCTTAGATATAGTACAATGTTGTCTAGCGGTAACTCATTTATTATAAAACATTTCTGAAAGAATATTAGTGTGTCCATATGAAATCCACTTGAGATGCAACCTGTTCAGTTCTTATGTTTGCCAGTGTTCTTTAGATTTTTAAATAAAAAGTGAAGGCTTTCTAACAAAACAGAAGTAAAACTTTTATTTCAGGGATTTTATTAAGAACATATTTTAACAAAAAGTGTTATAGTGACCATAATTTCCATTTTCTAGCATGAATATATGCAAATATGCTCTTCTTTTTCTTCTAGTAAACATAATTTGAAAATATATACTCTAATCACTTAAGATAGTATGTCTGTTTCTCATGAATTAAAGTAATAACCTAGGATTTCATAAACAAAGTATACTTTACTTTAGACTTCTGATTTCATAAGTAATGTTATAAATAATAAAAACTCCATAGAGATTATATGACTTTATATATTTTTTCCAAACAGTATTCAGAAAAATCCTATAAAATTTGATATATTTCTCTAGAAAAGCATTATATACATTTGTGAAACACTAGATTAAAGAAAGTATAGCATTCACCTTTACTCAAAGTCTTCTCAGAAACTTAATAGGTTATCCTGTAAGGTGAATTCCCAAGAAGATAATATAATGTACAATATTGTCTACTTGTTTTCATACCAAAACTTATTGGGGCAAGGGAGAACCAGTTAGTATACTTTGAACTTAGTGTTCAAAATGCTGGCTAAAGGCAAGAAATCAAATTAATTCACATTAAGGAAAGAAAAATTTTTAAAAGTCTTTAAAGCCCATAAAGAGAATTATGAAAATTATGTCATATAAATTTGTCATAAAATATAAGTAATCAGATATTAGGCTGGGGAGAAAATAATATGTTGAGAAAAATATAATAACTTTAAAAATTAGAAGACTTACCATATGAAAGGGGAATAAAACATACCCTATGAAGCTCCAAAATGAAGAGTGGAACATAGAGGTGATATGTTTAAGAAGCCATATTTTAACTCTAACAAATGAAGGGTTTTCTAACAGTTGTTCAGAGTCACGCAACAATGGAAGCAACTTCCCATGAGGTAGAGTTGTCTACCACACAAACTGTTCAAACAGATAAACCAAGATAACTCAAGAGAAAGGATATAAAAGGACCCCTAATCTGGAAACAAAGTTGTGAAATGTTCCTCTAAAACCTTTACAACTTGAAGAATTTTATTTTTTCTTTCCTCCCTCCCTTCTACCCTTTCTCCTTCCTTCCCTTTTATATTTTTTAAATTTATTTCCGAAAATACACACTGAGTGCCATATATCTACCAGATTATACTACACACTGAGGACATAATAGTGAACACAGTTTATGCTATACTGGATGAGACAGCAATTAGCTGAATAATCACAAAAATATGTAAAATTTTATCCATCATAATTAGAGTTATTAACAGAGAGCTACATGGCACAAAGTAATTAATCCTGATTTTAAAGAAGGGTTTCCCTAAAGAAATAATAATTAAGGAAACATACAAAGGATGAAAATTAACACAGGGTGGAAGAAAGAATTTTCCAGACAGTGTATAAAGACTCATAGTCCCTTAAGAACAATTTGGAAATCACTGAAGAGTTTTAAGTCAGAGGGATTATGTCCATTGAGGGTTAATATCATGTATTGATAAAGAACGTTAACACTAAAGCTAAAATCGTGAGCTCAAATCCCTGATGTAGCATTATGTGGCCCCAGACCAAATCTTTAAATTATGTGTGCCTCAGTTTCTCCTCATTTATGAAATGGGGTAAGTAAAAGCATCTACTTTATAGTTAGAAGTAAATGAGCCAAAATATGTAAAGTGCCTTGAACAGTGCCTGATACATGGTAAATGCTGTTATTATTATTGTTATTGTATTCAATATATGGCTATATACTAGATATATACCACATACATATACACAAAAGTTTCTTCTTGGTTCAATGAGTAAGTTTGGAGGGAACTAAGATAACATGTGAGAGATAAACTAGGATTTTAATCTTATAGTACAAAATAGGTAATTGAGAGGATAAGGGCACTGATAATGGTGGTAGACAGAGAGAATTGGGCAAAGGAGAGAAATTAGGAGGTCAAAGTGTAAGGTTGTGGTTGATCAGGAGAGATAGGAGTCCAAGCAACGTTTATGCTTGTGTAACTAAATACATGACATACATTTTCTAAAAGAAGATCATGATTTTGATTTTAGACATGGTTTGAAATGGTTTTGATTCATTCAAGAGGAGATGAATGAGAACTGGTGTTAGAAGGAGAGGTCTGGATAGATATATCAAAATGTAATCAGAATTTTCTATATTGTGTTAATATTTCCATTAATTTTGGAAGAATTCTGCCTTTATATATTCATAGTCTAATGAGATAAGATGGAGTGATGGGTGGGAGATAGAATAGGAGAAACAGGCATAATTCTAAGTATTGACAAATGAAGCTATGAGAAATAGAATGAGCATTGTTTTAAAAACGTATGCACAAATTACTATGAAGTCTCTAAAATTTACAAATAATCTGTTCTTTCTAATGAAGATGTATATTCTGTGACTATTACAAAAAAAATGAAGAAAAATAACTAGGAGATATGCACAAGCCATTTTTTAAATTATGGAATCTTAATAAATGCTCAGTCTTTCACTTCATGACCCTACTAATGCACAAAACAATATTATCCATGATCACATCATGTAAATACCATGAACTTAGTTCATAGGCAAGGAAAAAAGGGTCAGAAATCACAGAAAGGGCAGTATCCAATGATAGTGTGCAATGAATATGCAAATGATATTTCAAAATATAATTGCTTTTTTAAAAGCTTTTGATGGTAAGAACCTTGTAACAGATTGTTTTATTTTTGTTTCTTGAAACTCTCATTGAAAAAGAAAGGAAAACAAGAAACACTAGAAAGGACAACTGGCAGATGTTTCCCAGATGACATCTGTGAAAAATTGGTGTCAAAGAATCTAATGAACTTCCCCAAAATTATTGAATGTAAATATTTGTGTATGTGTGTGTGTGCATGCATGTGGATGTGTGTATTAACAGATATAGATAGATAATAGATAGATTTAAAAATTAAAGTGTTCTAAGACTCATGTATTGGCCAGAAGGAGAGTAAGATTTAATAGTTAAAGTTAGGATTTATATGTCATATATGAAGGATGAATTTCTTTTCAAAGTTAGCCTCAACATTTAGGTAAGGAATATATAACTAAGAAACTAATACAAGGGGAAAATAGTATGAGAAAGTGTATTTTTTCAGTCTAAAAACAGAAGTTAAAAAAAAGAAAGACAAGTAGAAAGCACCTAATAAAATTAGTACTTTTGAAGCCACATATACTGGCAATAGCATGATACATTGGTCAGGAACTTGTGCTCTGGAGAGAAAAAATCAAGTTTCAAGTCCAGCCTGTGCCATTTACTAGCTCTTTGATTTCTGGCAAATGTTTAAACATTTCTAAGCATTGGGTCTTCATCTGCAAAATAGGGAAAAATACCAACTACTTTCTACAGTTGCTGTGAGGATAAGAGAGAGAACAGATGTGCATTTCTTATCACCTGACACATAGAAAGTACCCCATAACTGGTAGGCAGGAGTTTTATTATGAACAGGAACTCCAATACATGTAATTGCCCACATTTTCTGCAGTCCAGACCATTTTGCAGAAAAGGAACAGAAAAATGAATGGTGGAAATGATCCAAGTTCAAGGTTTTAAGTTTTAGTGCAGAGGAAGCGTAAGCAGTCAAATAGAGCTAAGAAAAATGAGCTGGGGCTGGTGAACCAAGGGACTGAAGCTGGATAGTGAAAGAAATAGAGGGGGACAAATAAATTGGGAGAAAGAGGTTGAGGACTCCATGAGGTGCAGCATAGACTTGAGGGGAGTGAGAGTGCACATACCCTGGAAGAGAAAGATGATCTCAGCCTGGACGCTCAGTTTAAAATATCTTAAGTAGCCCACTGTTGAGAAATCAGAAGATTCTGGGTATGGCTGTGGGAAGAAACTGCCAAAATTAAAAGGAAGTGAAAGTCACCAAAGTCAAAGAGGAAAGTAACTATGATTTTGTAAGAATTTCAGATACAAGTACTTATAGATGTTTTTTAGCACATTGGGGAGAAGAGTCAGCAAAAAATGACATTTTTGAATAATACAAATAATGTAAGGACCTTGTTCAATGTCATGTAGCTAACATGTAGTGTCATGTATCTGATAGACACAGAAGTCAGAACCAGTTGGTCTGGCTTCGGAGTTCCTGCTTTGATCACTAAGTTATATGATGTCTTATGATAAAATATGCTATTATAGTTAATAAAGTAAAGTTATTCTAGGATAACATATACATATCCATAAGCAACTGATTATTAGAATATCAACTTAAAAATTATTGTGCCCTATGGAATGAAATTTTGTACAATATCCAAAATATTGCATATATTGATGACAATTTATGATTTAGCAAAACAGTGAAATGTCCCATCTACCAAAAACAGCAGAAAATTATTCTTTATGCATCTGAAACAGTTCTCAGAAATACCTTACTCAGAATATTTTTATGCTGGGAAAAGAAGGAAAATGATAGGTAAACATATTGGAGAATTCAAAACTGTTAAACAAATATAACACATAATTTGAAAAATCACAGGATTATTATTTTGAAGTTTGAATTTACTGTTCTACCTTCGGGAAAACATCACTGTGACATTCAGCCGAGTAAACAAAATTCAAGTGTAGAAAGAGACTCATTGTTTGAGTCCTTAAAGGTTTGTGAAGACAACTTAAAATTGTCCTGGAAAAAGATCAGAACAGTAAAATGACTACCAGGAACAGCTTTAAAAACCCATCTGAAAAACTACCCATAATGCACGTTATGGTGCCAGGGTTTATTTCCAACAGGACAAGAGCTCTGCCATATGCTCCATTCACTGGCCTCCAGTTTGCATTGCAAGTGGCAAAACAAAGCAGTAGATGAGTGGAAACATAGACTGGGGACTCTATTCAGGTTGAGAAGTAGAAACACTGCCCTCAAAGAAATGGAAAGAGAAGGAAAAAACATTTTCTATACAGTATTAGCAAATTTATATCATATTCACAGTCTTGATACAGTTAGGAGGAGAGGGGTTGACATGATTTGGGTGGCAGAAGTTACTGACACACTCAAATCAAGAATAGTGAGGTAAAGAATGTATTGAGGATGGAGAGTCTGATATAAATGAATGTGAATCCTAGATCTGCTAAGGTCAACTGATCAAATCATTCAAATTCTTCAATCATTGGTTCTTTAATTAAGGTCTGTAGAGAACAGTGAGTACTTTACAGGACAGTTCTCTGAGGGTAAGTAAGGTATTTAAGAGGCCTAGAATATAGTAGGTGCTCAATAAATAAGATCATTATTAGTATTGTTGGTCTTATTATTTGAGGTTCTTAAAGGTATGCTAAAGAAGGTCTAGACAGTAATCTAAATGAGGGACTATGTGATAAAACAAGAATAGCAAACTGTTAATGATTGAATCTAGGGACATGGTATATAGATATTCACTATAAGGTTCTTTCAGTTTTGTTGTTTGAAAACCTTTATACTCAAATTTAAAAAAATACCTAGAACTAGGAAAACTTGATAATTAGTTCTTTCTCATTCATAATATCCTAGTGGTTTGTAGAAGCTCCAAAATACTAAAACCTATCTAAAGGTGATGGAGAGGTCCAGAGTTCAGGCATTCCATTTTTTTCCCTTTCTGGGCACATTGAAGGAGTAAACTTTACTGTGCCCTTGAAAGAAAGCAGAGAACCCTGCTATCATTTCCAGGCTGAAGGATTTCATTACTGAGGTGCAACCTTCTTTAGTCCATCCCGCTATTGTGAATAGGGACACATGCCCCAAGTTCCTGATGGTAGTGGGGCTGCCACTGTCAGCTCTCTGCTGCTCTCTGAGAGATCATATGTGGCAGAGCTGCCCTGCTCACTGGTATAGGGACAGATAGCATTTGAGAGAAAATATTTTGGTATTAAACCAGTGAAATCTATTGTATTTGCTATTATAGCATAACAGTCTATCCTTAATAATTCATTCATTTTTGCATATTGTTTCAGTGATATGAACTGATAAATTGTGAAAACTTAGTGCTATGTAATCAGTATAATATTGTGATTTAACTTCTAATGCCTCTTTCTAAATGATACATGAGCCTGATACAAATCAAATAGCTAAGAAAAGCTTCCAGTGAAATAATGATTTCCTGTCCCACTCTTTCCACCCCAGTCCAGTTCTCCAGAAACAGCACTTTAAATATTGACTGGGTTTATTTTGATTATAGTTATTTCCATACTTCTAATAACATTTTTCATTTCTCTTTATTCAGCAACTTTAAGCAACCTACGTTAACTGTGTTACAGAGATGATTTAGCATAGTTATACCTATCTACTCCCTTCTTTCTGTATTTTCATAGCTATCTTATTATAGGTAATTCTTAACTTCTACACTTGAATAAAAACTTACCCTTCTCTTTCTACTTTCAACAACTCTAGAAGACCATCTCAATTTTTTTTCTATGTGAGGGGAGGTTATTAACATCCTAACTCTTCTGTTTACTTTGCCATCATCTTCTGTCAGATATACCTTTAATATCATGGCCAAAGTTGTTTATGTTTGCACTTTCTTAAACATTAAACTACAGTTTCCATGCATTGCCTAAAAACTGATTCTAAAATGAGAAACATACAGCTTGAGCATAAAAAGGATATAAATGCTTTATTCTGAGTTGCAATAAGAGACAACCTCCTCCTTTTCTGCATCCATCCCTCACCATATATTCTCTTTGCTGTAGTAGATCAGCCCTTCTTAGGAGTCTGCACAATGATCGCAATAGGATCCTGAAAGGAATGTGAGCCAAATACATTTAAGCAGCGTGGTGTCTGTCCATCATTACCCCATTGAAGATTTAATGTCATGTAGCTGTATGACACCTTCTAGACTATGCACATGAGCCTTGGGATGAGGTAAATGTTAGAAGCAGGAAGGAGAAGTTTGTGGGAAAGTGCCAAGAAGAGGGTGCATGGAGTCAAGTGTTGGAAGGGGCTCCAGTTGGCAGGGAAGGGATTATGGATGGTCCCCTGGGTCAGTTAACTGAAGTGACTAAATCCGAATAACCTTTGACTACATTTCAGTTGGCAAATGTAGACATACATATTCGTTTCACTCTGGGAAGTCAATGCCCTGCATTGAATGTTTTTTACACTTATAGGAAAATACATCACTCCATTCGGATCTACATAAGCAACTTTGTTCAAAGGTCCTGCTGATGATAATCCAACACCTCCTCTACACCTCCTGTCCGTGCACATGCACTCCTCTCTGCCTAAACTAAGGAGTATTCCTTTTCCTTCCAATTATAATATTTTGTTCTTCAGTTAAATGTTAAAATCGCCATGTCATTGCCTCCTCTTTTTCCTCTGTATTTATGAGGCTCCAAACTTATACTTTTTTATCTCTCCCGATTTAGTGAGATGCACTTCTCTAAGACATGAAACCCTATGTATTCTTGTGATTGGTGGGTGTACTTGTGTCCTAGGGCTGCCACAACAAAAATGCCATAGTCTCAGTAGCATAAACAACAAAAGTTTATTTCCTCATGGTTCTGGAGGCTGGAAGTACAAGATCAAGTTATTGACAGCTTTTGTTTTCTCCTGAAGCCTCTCGTCTCGGCTTGCAGATGGCCACCTTCTCTCTGTGTCCTCACAAAGTCTTTCCTCTGTGCACACCACACCCTAGTGTTGCTCAGTGTTTTCAAATTTTCTCTTCTTATTAGCACACCAATCAAATTAGATAAGGACTCATCATAAAAAATCTCATTTTAATTTAACCACTTCTTTAAAGAATTTATCTCCAAACACCATTCTATCTGAGGTACTGGGATGAGGGCTTCCACATATACATTTCGGGGGACAAAACTGAGTGCATAACAATGGTTACCTGAAAATTTCATGTTACCTTTTCTTAAATATTTTATTTCAAAACTGGTAAAGACACAGTAATAGAATATGTGAGTGTTTCCTCCATATTTTGGCAGACTAAACATTATTATTCTCTAATATGCAAAGGTATATTTGGGGGATACTGTTAGTGCTTGAAGGAAAACCTGATTGCATTCATTGCTATCGCTACAGGATTGATCCAAATGGTTCTTTTACATGCAATACAGCCCAGAAAAAGAAGACACACCAAAATCATTCCTAGAGTCAACCCTCAATCAACAGCCCTACAAAATACATCAAACTTTAAGTATAAATGTACATAATTTCTGATAGAAATAAAGCTAATTAGTAAAATGTTGTCTCAAACCAGTTCACTGTTTAAGATGAGTTTTTCACTCTCAGAAACTAGGCAGATAAATTTTACAAAGAATGACTGCTCAATCTAAATGTTCAGCAATACTGAACAGCTAAAATAGTTCAACAATATCTAAGTTATCTGACAGAATCTTTTAGTCCCAAGTAGTAATTCCAAATGTTTGGGGAAAGATCTCAGCAGAATAAAATGAGAATTGCCACATCAAGTCATCTGTGTTTAGAAAAGAAACAGCTGTGACTAAGGGGCCTGAGAGCAATGAATTGATATTCAAAGTTATCTTTCTGAAATGGAGTTATGAATTTGAGCATGTTCACAAGAAATTAAACTAAATCCACACCTATTTGAAATGATCTTTACAGATGCCATGTAAATATATACCAACCCACTTTGCAATTAAATCCACATAATTAGGCCAGGGACTTCATGCCAAAAGTATGTTGTAATTCTACTAAATTTAAAGTGTTCACAGTGGTAAATGAGAATAAGTAGTCTCAAATGATAGCTCATTTAGATGTTCACACACACACATGCAAGAATCAAACCAATTCAAATCTGGAAATACTTACATCATTTCTTTATTGGCAAACCCAAAGGGAAAGTTCACAAGGCAACTACTTTTACATTAAATTTATCATATTTCATGCACACAAGGAAAAATAAATGATAGCAAAAAAAATAAGGGTTTCTATGTACCTTTTGTTAAAATCAAAAGATTGCATATTCAAGGAACATATTGTAAAGATGTCCAAATGTTCTTTCTTTATCTACTTTACTAAATGATAAGCATTTTAATTCCAAATGGAAGGTATTACACAATATCATTCATCAAGAGTTGTGTGATTCCAAGCACATAAAATCCTTTGCAAAAAAGTAAATGCTCTGGAGTCCCTTCCTTTTTTTATTGTTTCTTTTTCTTTCTCCCCTCTCTTTTTTTCAAGAAGTGGTGGTATTAATTTCTAGTAATGTGATATCTGGCAGTATCTTTGAA